CACATGCGCGTCTCATAAACTCGAGGACGAATATGCGTTCGATATCTGCTCTCCGCAAACGAAATTCGGATGTGGGTGAGAGTACATTCGGGACATTTTCGCCTTTAAGTTGACACGGTACACGGCGAAAGTACTTGAGTCGGCTTATAAGGTGGATTGCTTGGTTCTCAAGGCTCACTGTCATACAGACGAATGCTGGAGAGAAGTTTGTTCCTCAAATCAGACCATTTATCACGTTCATAGGTGAAGCTCGTCTTAAGACAACTTCCACCTATTTCCTTGGCAACCTCATGTGGATTATCGACCAATGGAGACCGTGTGCTCTTTTGGAAGAATTTCGTTCGCGCCTTGGAATACCGTGGTCACGTTGGCTCAAGGACTTGTTACTACTTGGATTCCCTGGAAGTTAGTGAGAACTGACAATAATTGCCGGACAAGAGTTAATAATAGTAATGTTACTGTGTCATCGTCAATCTGTGCCTTATTTTAAGGAATTTTATTCGTGTCTATCTTTAAATCATCAATCCTCTACTGCAACACCATCATCAATTTTCAGTAAATTTGGAGCCTGCTTATATGGCAGCTGACTCTCCTGTGAGGTAAGCAACAGGTGGACTATCAAACTAGTTTTCGCTTATTCCTGGTTACCTCCTGCAAGACCAGATAAACAAAGTTGGCCATGACTGCACATGCCATTGTCGCCAAAGGTGGCATAAGAGGGCCGTTTTGCCTCTACAGTGCATTGGAAATCCAAACGGGTTTTCGATCCCTTAAACTTAGGATTTGGAAACTCTTCTCGTTCACTCTGGGTTCGACGCACATCGATTTTTTGGCGTCTTCGAATAACCCGGTTCCGTCCTTTAGTCTTAGGCCAATTAGATTTGCAATCATCTATCAGGTCACAAAGGGCGAAATCTGAGACATTCATATTTTTTCTTTATTCTGCCCTACAACCGAGTACGAACGCGCTACGCATACGATGAAGATCCACACCGTTCACAAGTAAATTCCTGTTCATGCGTACGTAACACCTAGAAATTGGGGTTCCATTAGGGGCCTCACGTCGGTCAGTCTTTGTCAGGCTAGGATGTATATTTATTCACATGGTACTAGGTGTTGATAAGGTCGTAAACAGGCAATGACATTTTTGTTCGCAAGATAAACGTTCCTTGCAATTTCAATCCGTTGATGTCACATTTTGTGATTTTTATTTTATCCTCCTGCTGCTTATGCTCAGAGAATGGATTTACTAAATTGGAATTCGATAATTTTACCACTCTGGTGGTCTTTGGGAAAGCATTCGGTTTGCTGACATCAGATATTATGCCAAAGTGCGCAAAATGCGTTTAATGCCTCAGAACTGGAATGTCATCAGACTGGAAGAGATCGAACAAGCTCTGAACAAGACACCATGCAACGGAAACGTCTGTATAAGTGAACAGGACAAGTTGTACTTTCTGCTAACACTGCACACTCTCTCTGTCGCATTAACTTTCTTTTTTTTCTATCTATTGTAGTAATTCCCTCCACAATGTCACAGCCACTCATTGTTAAGGCAAAGTATGAAAAGGAAATTCGTATTTTACCAGTTTATACGGACGAGCTCTCTTTTGATGAACTCTACCTCATGATTTCGCGCCTGTTTAAAGGCCAGATTGCTGCTGATGACGATCTTATTTTGAAGTACGTAGACGCCGGTGAGTGCCCGCTCAGCTGTTTCGTTAATACTTTCGTCTCTTCTTAGACGGTGATTTGATTACCCTCGGGGACGGTGCAGATCTTGATTTGGCTCTCCTGGAAAATAAAAAGCTCTGTATCCACGTCTCTAGTAGGTGCCCGTACTTTCCTCCTACTCCATATGCCTCGTCTAGATCGACCACAAAAGGACAGTGAGCATCCTTCAGTCAGTGAGCCAATCGAAGTTGGCAAGAATTCGATTACTTCAGCCGAGAGCATAAGCCTCGTGGATGAACTCGCAACAGTTCGTTCGCAGCTTAACAATCTCATCGACAGACTCGCCAGTTGTCGCCCCGTCGAAGCCGTCTCAACAAAATATGTGAGCCCAATCTTTGTTTCTGTCTCTCCCACCTTGAGGGATATTTTTCACGTGGAAGAATTAGTAAATGAACTACCACTTCCCATCTAAAAACTCATAGGTGGTAACTTTCTTTATGTAATATTATAAGCGGCGTGTGTCGTCTAAACTATTAAGTATCTCTGATTGGTTTTTCGGTGGACAGTAACTTAGCTTAACCAAGATTATTTTGCCTCCCCAATTTATCCCTAATAATGTAATAAAGTAGTGAACTTATTTAGTATCAATATATTTGAGGGAAATGTAGGTGGGTTGCCTTTGAGTCCCCCATTTGTATATGTTGTTCGGTAAAAATTGTGCTCCTAGTTATTCACAGAGGGGGGGTAGGTGTGTGCTCCTCTCCATCCCACCGCTGCCACCAATGTAGCGGGCCAGGGATGTCGGGGTTGGCACACACCTAAAGGAGTAATTCACGCATATGATTCTCCAGAAGTAACGCCGAACGGGGTTGTCAATCACCACAACACACAATTGTATAAGGAGATAGAAAGATAACGAGATAATAAGAAATAAGATCTGTTGATATAAAAGGGATGGTAAACAATAAAGCGAGTGGGGAGACGACACGAGGAGTTATCAAGAGTCTGTACAAATGATCCATTTGGAGTGAGGGGTGATCACAAAATATCACTTAGATACCGGTGGGAGTGCAGCGCTGTGGGAAACTGCGGGTAAGGGCCATGGTGGTGCTGACGGTGAGTAGACTACGATGCGAGTGTGACGGCAACACGGAACGGGGGGGGGATAGTGTCAGCGGAGGGAAAAAGAAGGAAAACCGGAATCATCACCAACAGACGTTCACACCATCCTCATCCGGATCCGCGCCAAAAGTGACCTTGGTTCACTTGGTTAGTACCTCGTTGGCACTTGTTCCTTTGCGGTTGCCTCACCAAGAAGTTTTTCAGAGAGCTTCTGAGGCTGGGAGCCATCAGTGAGGCATAGTAGGTAGTTAGGTGGGTTTAGCTCTGTGACAGGCTGGGGTCGATAAGTAGTATCCGGGGATCGAACATGCCAAGGTGATTTTGTGCCAACTCTTAAGCATGGTCAGGGGTGTCAAATGTTCCTGTTCAGCGGCATTACTCCTTCCGCCGGCATCCGCG